CTGCAACTTCCCAACATATTGTATGAAGACGAACAAGGGTGGTTTATGAAGACATGCTATTGTTGTGATCTTATCTGTTTGGGACGTGTACGTTGAGCTCCGGCTCTCAGCACGTCATCAACGTGATGACGGTGGGAGGCGGGATGTTACGTCATATTTACGTTAACTCTCAGAAGTTTCTGACAGTGCAGCCAAGGGGAGCATGGAGAAGCACATTGGAGTCGGCGGCCGTCAGCAGCTCTAGTGGTGAGTATGTGTCTTTGTTTGGTAAAAGTAGAACAGAGCTGGACTTCCGGTCTGGTGGACTACGTGATGGCAGCATAGAGCGACCTAGGTGTTATTCTAAAAGAGCTGCGAGAATTCAGGAGAGACTCCATTCAGCAATTAAACAGCATTGAAGAAGATATTAACAAAATGAACAAAAGAGTGGAAGAAACCGTGGAGCGGATCACTACAGCCGAGACATGGATCCAGTCAACGGAGGATGTATTGGCGCAGCTGGCGAAACTACAGGAGCAGATGGAAGCTAAATTGACTGAATTGGAGGGACATTCAAGACGTGATAACATCAGGCTACATGGGGTAAAAGAAGGAGGTGAAGAAAATGTCGCCACAATGATTTGTGGAGGATTTATTAATGAAGGGTCTGGAGCTCCACCCCACTACTGCGCTACATATTGAGAGAGCGCACCGGTCGCTTGCTCCGAAGCCTCCAACTGAAGCGACGCCGAGATCCATCGTGGTCAAGTTTTCAAGTTACAGAACTAAGGAGGACATGCTGAGAAGAGCCTGGCAGAGGAAAGGGTTTGATTTTCAAGGAAAAAGGGTACACCTGGATCACGACTACGCACCGGAGCTGCTGAGGAAGCGAAGGGATTATAAAGAGGCGAAAGCCGCCCTGAAGGAGAAAAATATAAGATTTCAGACTCCGTTCCCGGCCAGACTGAGGGTGTTTTACAAGGACGGTACGGTCATCTATAACTCGGCGGAGGTGGCGACGGCGGACATGGCAGAGAGGGGGATACCAGTGACGGTTTTCAAAACTCCGATGTCCCTCCTGGACCGAGTCAGCCAGCTGACTTGGCGATACAGGCTCCACGCAAAGCCTCAAAGACCGGCTTCAGGCTTCAAGTTTATAGGACTGGACTTAATACAAGTTTCCTGTGGGAAACCCAATTAAGAGGAGCAAGGTTTTGACAAAACTGAAGAGGGAGGGAGTGGAAGTTGCTCTCTTATAAGAGACGCATCTAACAGAATTGGAGCATGAAAAACTCAAGAGATGGAAATTTAAACAGTATTCATCCTCCTGTGGGCAGGGCTCGAAGAGAGGGGTAGCAACTTTAATTTCTAGTATATGAAACTTTGAGTGTTTATATGAAAAAAAAAGATATTGATGGAAGATTTGTACTGGTCCAGGGATTTTTTATTTACCTTTTTAAATGTTTATGTCTCCCCAGGATCAGATTGGGAATTTTATAAACAAATCTTTGGATTAGTAATTTCTGAAGCCCAAGGTATCCTTATCTGTGGAGGTGATTTTAATGTTGATATGTTGATTTTAATGACTCCAACCTGCTCTGGACTCTTCAAAGCCTTGTATCCCAGGATAGAAAAAAACTACCAAAAACATCAAATTAATGCTGGGGGATCTGGGACTTCTAGACATATGGAGAGAACTGAACCCGACCAAAAGGGATTACACCTTTTTCTCTCACTCGCACTCTGTTTATTCCAGGCTTGACCTTTTTTTTATGTTTTTTGTTCTTTTTTATGTTCCAAAGAGATTTGGTTAGTGTGTTGAACTGCAGTATTAGGACCATGGATCTGTCGGATCATACACCAGTATTACTAAATTTAATACTAGGCTCTGAGAAAAAGAATACTGTTTGGAGGTTAAACACAGGGATTTTAAATCACAGTAGGCAGCAAATCAGGAAGGACATTAAAAACTATTTGGATGACAATGACAACAGGGAAGTGTCCCCACCTATCCTCTGGGATGCTTGTAAAGCTGTTCTAAGGGGGAAAATTATTGGATATTGTTCAAATTTAAAAAAACAGGAAGAAAAAGATTGATAGGTTACAAACAGAATTAAAACAACTAGAAGACATCCATAAAAAGACACTTAATCAGGGTACAAAAATGGAAATAGATAGGACAAAGAATGAACTAAATGAAATATATTCAAATGAAATTAGGAAAAAGTTAATCTTCTTGAAACAAAGACATTATGAAGCGGGAGGGAAATCAACTAAATTACTGGCTTACAGGCTAAAAAAGCAACAAGCAGAAAACATAATTTTCAAAATAAAGGACCCTACAACAAATTCTATACACTGTAAAACTAAAGAAATTCATCAATCATTTGAAACCTTTTATAAAACCCTATACTCTCAGCCTAGAATAGATGAAACAAGGATGGATGCTTTCTTCAACCTGATAAAATTACCAAAAGTGAAGGATGATCAAAATAGGGCTCTAATCGAGGAAATTACAGATGAAGAAATTAAATCGGCCGATAAGTGTACTGAACCAGGACTATAAGATCTTCACTCATATTTTGGCTAAAAGACTTGAAAACATCCTTCCCCAGATAATAAGTTTGGATCAGACAGGTTTTATACAACAAAGGCAGACTCAGGACAACATTCGTAGAACGCTCCATGTTACAGAACATATAGTTAAAAATAACACCCAGGCAGTCTTGCTGAGCCTTGACGCAGAAAAGGCTTTTGATCGGGTCAATTGGGAGTTTCTATATAGAGTATTACAGAAATTTGGATTTCATCAGGCTTTCATCACGACCATTCAAGCACCATATAATGATCAAGGGCAAGGATAAAAATAAATGGGAACATATCAAGCTCATTTGGTTTGGAAAGAGGGACTAGACAGGGCTGTCCAATTAGTCCTCTACTTTTTGCAATATTTATTGAAGCTTTAAGCCAAGGCATTACTCAAGATAATAGCATTAAAGGTATAAAAATGCTAGGACGAGAACATAAAATTTCTCTGTTTGCGGAGGACATTTTAATCTATTTGTCACACCCAGAGACTTCAATATTGAAACTAATGTCTTTTCTGGATGTCTTTGGTGCACTCTTGGGGTACACACTGAATATTCAAAAGACCCAAATACTTAGTTTTAACTATATGCCTAGTCAGAATATTAGCTTCACTTTTCAACTTAATTGGGACCTGGAATATATGAGATAATATATGAGATATTTTAACATCCCTAAAGATTCAGCAAAGTAGTACGATTTAAATTTTAACCAATTAAATCAGAAAATACAAGAGGATATAAAGAGGTGGAATCTAATTCCAATATTGAGTTTTGAGTCACGAATTGAATCTGTGAAAATGAACATCTTACCTAGAATACTTTATCTGTTCAAGACTCTTCCAGTTGAAATAAATGATAAACAATTTAATGAATGGGACAAATTACTATCAAGATTTATTTGGCAGGGGAAAAAGCCAAGGATAAAATTTCAAACTCTCCAATTATCGAAGGATAAAGGAGGACTTGCACTCCCGTGCTTAAAAGATTATTATATTTCAGCCCAATTGAGGATCTTGTTTTGTTGGTGCAACTCTAAATACCAGGCGAATATCAGGGAATATACCAATTCAGGCGAGGATAGGGGATAAAAGATTGATTAAAAAGGTAATGGAAATAAATAATAAATGGATTAATTTAAGTCTTAAAAGTAAGTAAAAGCGGCTTGCGGGAAGAAATAAAGATTTTGAGATGGTGCTCACATGACCCCGACTTTATACCAAATAAACTAGATATTAGCTATAAAAGATGGGTTAACCTGGGTCTCTCCTCATACTGCACCTTTTTTAATCAGAGGACAGTGAACAGTTTTGACGCATTGAAGAGACTACATGGTTTAAACAATAGTGACTTCTTTAGATATCTTCAGGTTCGTCATCACATTAATAGTTCTATTCCGGAGAGCCAAAAAGTATTTGAGAATGAATTGTTAAAAATGTTTATTAGTGCCTACAGAGCGGACTCAGGGATTAAAATAATTTCAAGATTTTATAAGGGACTCCAAGGAGTTAAGACGAATAGTACCATTTACATTAAACAAAAATGGGAAAGCGAAACCAACAGTTGCATCACAGAGGACGTCTGGACCAAATATTGTGAATTTCGATGGAAGATATCAAGCTCAATGTCTTGGAGAATGTTTGGCTGGAAGAGTCTCAGCAAATATTTTATTTCATCTGTTCAGTAGTCTCATCACTCAGGTTCCTCCAGTTGCTGGAGAAAATGTGGCTCTCAGGAAGCAAACCATTACCACTTGTTCTGGGCCTGTCCAATTGTAAATGCTTTCTGGCGTAAGGTCTACACCGAATTAGTGATGATATTTGGAATGAAAATTGCTTTTAATTGGGACGAACTTCTCTTTGGTTTTCTACACTCAACATCTATAAATATTAAAACAAAATACTTTTGGTATTCTGAGCGTAGCTGCTAAAAAAGCAATTACAAAGAAATGGCTTAAGCCAAATGGCCCATCTATAGAGGAATGGTATGACATTATTTACGAAATCTATGTAATGGAAAGAATTACCTTTTCTGTGAGACTAGAGAAAACTAGATTTGAGGAAATTTGGGAAAAGTGGAAAATATATATTGCCCCTAAACGCCCTTCTTTTGTTTAACTGCTTGTAATTTCTTATTTTATTCTCTTCTTAGTATATATATTTTTTCCTTTTTGCCATTTTGAAACACCCCATGTTCTGTTCATATTTGTAAATTTAAAAAAAAAATTGTAAAGATGAATCACTGTATATTTCTATCAAACTATGCTGAATGTGTTAGGTGTTGATATGTGATTCTAAATAAAGAGAAAATGAAAAAAAGAAAAAAAGAAAGTAGAACAGAGCTAACGTTATGCTACGAGCCACAGAGCTAACTTTATGCTACGAGCCAGAGACCTTTTCAAAGCACTGACCTTTGACCTGTATCTCCAGCACTGACCTTTGACCCAGAGCTTCACTTGTTTCTTCATCAGGATCTTTCTCTTCCTGTTGTAGACGGTGCAGGTGTAGGTCTTACTGTCTGTGTATGTGGGGTATTTCAGGGTCAGACTGAGGTCTCCAGGTTCCAGCAGGTTTCTCTTCATCTCTGTTCGGTCTCTGTAATCCTGGTTCTGTTCTTCAGGCTGATCAGAGCCGTTCTGATACACATGGACCATCCTGTAACTGTCCGTCCACTCCACTGTGACGTCCTCAGGCAGGTGAACTGTGGTTTTGCAGGGCAGCAGGACAGACTCCACCCCTGAATCCACCTCCACCTGGTAGACTGAGAGGACAACAAACCACAACATCAGTTGCTTTTCAAGTTTTATTCTTTTGATGTGGGTTTTGGTTTTTAGGTTTTTCACAGTCTGTAACTTTGATTATTGATTTCAAAGAAAACATCTGTAACCACAACACTGGAAATATTCACAGGTTTTGTAACAACTAGGTCAGAGTGTGATCCTCATTATGTGTCTGTCACATGTTGAGTCAGTCCATAACTGTAAACAATGTAAGTTAATTCAATGGCAGTAATATCCTGGGGGTTGTCACCAACCATAAGTATGCAGTCAAACTCAGTGCAGATAATCGACAGTGAAAATATATGGTGGCCTGTAAGAACAAAGATCAACAGGAGACAGATATTCAAAAGAATCATTTTAGTGACATTTTCTTACATTGAACTCAATCAAAGAAAAGAGATCACATCTCTCCTGTACTAGCTTCTCTGCACTGGTTCCCTGTAAAGTTTAGAATAGAATTTAAAATTCTCCTCCTCACCTATAAAGCTCTTCATGATCAGGCCCCTTCATATCTTAAAGAGCTCATAGTACTCTATTACCCCACTAGAACACTACGTTCTCTGAATGCTGGGCTACTTGTGGTTCCTATAGTCTCTAAAAGTAGAACGGGAGCCAGAGCCTTCAGTTACCAAGCTCCTCTCCTGTGGAACCAGCTTCCAGTTGTGGTTCGGGAGGCAGACACCCTCACCACATTCAAGAGTAGGCTTAAGACATTCCTCTTTGATAAAGCTTATAGTTAGGGCTGGATCAGGTGAGTCCTGAACCATCCCTTAGTGACTGCTATAGGCCTAGACTATCGGGGGATTTCCCATGGTGCACTGAGCTCCTCTCTTCCTCTCTCTTTCTGCACTCATTCATGTTCCATTAATGCATGTTACTAACTTCACTTCTTCCCTGGAGTTCTTGTGCTTTCTCATCTCGCAGGTTCTCATGGATCCTGGTGGAGCCTCCTGCCATGGTCCTGCTAGATTGCCATTACCAATATCACTGATATTATTGTTATTAGGGACCTCGCAAGCGACCGCTGGAGGTCCCTATTGTTTTTGCTTCGTTTCTTCTTCACTATTATTATTATTTTTAGCACTTTTGATTGCATTTTTCCCCCTGAATATATAAGAAAAGTCAATTTTATTTGGCAAAGTTGTCAGGCCTGGTGAAAAATTTGATATTCTATGTGTCTTTTTCAGGTCGGCCACTAGGTGGCGCTACTATTTAGGAAAGTATTTTCACTTTTTGGTTACTTAATAACTTTTGCATATTTTGTCGCACATTCAAAAAACTTGGAGCTGAATCTCTCCATATAGGCCCCGCCCACTTCCGCCTATAATTTTTTTCCGCTAGAGTGCGAAAAGTCCTTAAAGTACCTTTTCGTGGTCCTCCTACACGCTTTGTCCAATTCCCACGAAATTTTTCACCTAGCACCTGGGGACCGCCCTGGCAAAAAAAGTAATTTGAACCTTTTTGAAATTTCAAAAAATAAGCGCGCTATAAAATTAAGACTTCCTGTAGATTTTTCGTCAAAAAGGAAGTGGACCATTTCTCCACATTGGTATGTCCGATTGACACCAAACTTGGGTCCATAGTTCAACATGTCTTCCTTAAGCATCGTGCACAATTTCAGGCCATTGCCTCTAGGTGGCGCTCTTTAAAATGAAGAACTTTATATCTCTACAGCGGTATGTGTGATTAAGATGAAACTTGGTATGATGCTTCCCCCTGGCTCCCTGAGGCTCCCTTAAAAAGGAAAAACTAAATACGCCACTAGGTGGCGCTCTTTTGGCATGAAAAATCGCTGTGCGAATACCGTAATAGTTATGAATACAAAATTCACAGGGCACGTGTAGAGTAGTGCCTGAAGCTCACATACCAAAAATCGTGTTCGTCATTTGTGTAGCGCCCCTACAGGATAAAAAAACAGAAGCCCCGGCGCCACGTTTCACCGATATGTACGAAACTCGGTAGGCAGGTGTAACATGCTGAGACGTACAAAAAAGCCTCTTGGACCCATACCCGACACCCCACAGGAAGTCGGCCATTTTGATTTAGAGTTTCGATTTCAACGAACTTTTCGCGTTGTATTTTAACGAACTCCTCCTAGGGAATTTATCGGATATGCTTCAAAATTTGTGAGTACAGTCAAAAAATGGTCCTGATTAAAAGTTGTGCTATTTGTGCATGTACGTTGAAGGGCGTGTCCGTGGCGTGGCATCAAAGTCAGCCATTTAGATTTTTTTGGTCATTTTCTGTGATTTTCACGTTGTATTTGAACGAACTCCTCCTAGGGAATTTATCGGATCTACTTCAAATTTAATCAGCAAAATCTAAAGACATTCATGATTAAAAGTTGTGCTAATTACGACATTCCGTCAAACGGCGTGTCCGTGGCTAGGCATCAAAGTCAGCCATTTTGCATTCCGTGCTCATTTTCTGTGATTTTTTGCCTTGTATTTGAACAAACTCCTCCTAGGGAATTTATCGGATCAACTTCCAATTTAATCAGCGCAATCTAAAGACATTCATGATTAAAAGTTGTGCTATTTACGACATTCCGTCAAACGGCGTACCCGTGGCGTTGCGTTGAATTTCGACCATTCACCATAAACAGATAGTACTCAACTTCAGTGTACAGTCCCACCCTGAACACATCCTCATAACTTCAGCGTACATGATCCAATCTCAATGAAACTTCACGTGTTTGATAACAGTCCCACTCTGAACACGTCTACATGACAATATTCAGACATAGTGATAGCGCAACCTACTGGCAATAAGAAGTAAGCGCTGCGTGGCGATTTTGGGCTGCGTTATGATTTTGAGCTGCGTTACGTGAAAGGATCGTGCCGGTGACGACTTGTCGAATTCAGTGGATTCGTCATTAAATGCCACTCATAACTTCAGTGTGCATTGTGCAATCTCCAGTAAACTTTATATATTCTGTAACAGTCTCAATCGGAACACGTACTCGTAACTTCAGAGTACGTGGTCCAATCTCAATGAAACTTAAGGTGCGTTACAACAGTCCCGCCCTGAACTTGTCTACATGACAATATTAAGACATAGTGATAGCGCCACCTACCCGCAACAGGAAGTAAGCGCTGTGTGGAGATTTTGAGCTGATTTACGTGAAATTTCATGTTTTGGTCCGCACGTGTAACGACGGCACGCGACGCGGCCGCAGCACGCCCGAGTTGCGTGGAGTGCGAGGTCCCGCTCAACGCTGCTTGCAGCTTTAATTATTATTATTATTAATATTATTATTACTACAAATACTATTATTACCATAATCACTGCTCATTCTCACCCATCGTTGTTGTCACCTTTTCATGTTCATCATCAGTCACTATTATATTATACTCTCTCTCTAACATTCAATTGCAGTGACAGCTTCCCTCAGTATGATACAATACTCAAAGCACTGACCTTTGACCTGTATCTACAGCACTGACCTTGGACCTTGAGCTTCACTTGTTTCTTCATCAGGATCTTTCTCTCCCTGTTGTAGACAGTGCAGGTGTAGGTGTCTCTGTCTCTGTATGTGGGGTATGTCAGGGTCAGACTGAGGTCTCCAGGTCCCAGCAGGTTTCTCTTCATCTCTGTTCGGTCTCTGTAATCCTGGTCCTGTTCTTCAGGCTGATCAGAACCGTTCTGATACACATGGACCTTCCTGTAACTGTCCGTCCACTCCACTCTGACGTCCTCAGGCAGGTGAACTGTGGTTTTGCAGGGCAGCAGGACAGACTCCACCCCTGAATCCACCTCCACCTGGTAGACTGAGAGGACAACAAACCACAACATCAGTTGCATTTCAAGTTTTAGTCGTTTGCCATCTGTGATATTATATTTTACACTTTACCTTCAAACTAAATATTTCCGAACCATTCAGTGCTTTGGAAGTCAAATGTAAATGTAACTTGTCTTAATGAGCAGTTTGATCTGATTTGGAGTTATTTTTAGCTACAGGGACACATTAGCTACAGGAGCTCCAGTATGCTTTGACACTTTAAGATCTGAACTTTCAACACAAAAACATCTTATTTCAACTTTTAGTCTTTTGGCTTCTGTGATATTATATTTTACACACTATCTTCAAACTAAATATTTCCCTAACCATTCAGTGTTTGGAATTAAATAACAGTATTTTGAAATCAATTCTTTGATGTGTAGGAAGCCAGTGCAGAGCTCTAAGACCTGGACTCATGTTTTCCACTTAGTGTCAGTGAGGACTCTGGCAGCAGCGCTCTGAATCAGACACAGTTATATCCATTGATGAATTAAAACGCATCATAAAGAATATGGTGACAAAGGTATGTGGTTGTTTTTCTTGAGAAGCCATTGTATTTGTAAACAGCTGCTGCTATTAAATCAAATACTACTACTTATTATTATTATTGTTATTATTGTTGTTATTGCTGTTATTGCTGTTGTTGTAATATGATGTTGAAATAAGTTGTAAACTTCAGTATGTAGCAGGGATGCTGGAAGTCAGTGAGAGTGCTGAGAGAAAGTCTGTGTATATAATGACCTCATACTAAATACTGCAACACACTCATGGTTGTTGAGTTAATTTGAATGATCAGGATCACTGACTGCAAATTTAATAGTTATTAATGACATTCACATACATTGTATAACTGTATAGCAGATTACAAACAGCTCAAAGCTCTTTCCTGCCATAAATATCAGTGTACATGTAAATCCAGTAAAAAAGGAGAAAGTCATTATAAGTTTAAATGTTTTTATGAACTAATGGTTTTCATTATTCCAGATTTTAGGGGCACTGCAGCCCCCTCAGCTCCCTACTACCAGCAGCAATGCTACTGAGGATTTATTATATTTCACTTCTTCTGAACATCCATCTGATCACTAACTGAAATCAACTTATTGATATCAGTTTGATCCATGGAAACCATCTGCTGTATTATTCAGATTTTCTTTGATCATTGCATTGATACATTCTGAATATGAAATGTTGATGATCAATATTTGTCACATATTTGATGTATTGCTTTCATTGATAATCTCTGTGGACTTTAAAGAATTGGTGAGTGAAAAGGACTTCATGTACAATAGGTGCATTTTATTGCAGTGACAGCTTCCCTCAGTGTAATTAAAGATATGATTGGATGATCAGTAAACATTGATGGTTGACTTTTTGTTGGTTTTATAATCAGATATGAGCCAAACGTCAGTCCTTCATGTCTCAGATGAATTATTCCAGCTGATCTGGATCTGATGCAGATCTTTAGTCTCCAAATATCACAACCATTGAAATAGAAACAGAACGAGTTTAATTCCCCATATGAGCCTCTCAAAGATGTTTGTGTGTCAGCTCCAAATATGAGCTGAACATTCATGAAGGTACTCAGCTCAGTTTTTGTGACTGTTATTGATCCAGATATGTGACAGAAAAGAAACAATATCTGTCAGATGTTCCATCAGTCACTTGTTAACAAATGATGTTCACATTCTATTAGATTCACTTTGAAATTACATTTACTTTCTAATGAGCTTCCGATGGATTTTATATTGATCACAATGACTGGACTTTATATCACAATATAATAATGATACAATATTCAAAGCACTGACCTGTGACCTGTATCTACAGCACTGACCTTTGACCTCGAGCAGCACTTGTTTCTTCATCAGGATCTTTCTCTCCCTGTTGTAGACGGTGCAGGTGAAGGTTCCTCTGTCTCTGTCTGTGGGGTATTTCAGGGTCAGACTGAGGTCTCCAGGTTCCAGCAGGTTTCTCTTCATCTCTGTTCGGTCTCTGTAATACTGGTTCTGTTCTTCAGGCTGATCAGAGCCGTTCTGATACACATGGACCTTCCTGTTGTCTCTGTCTGTCCACTCCACTCTGACCTGCTTAAGCAGGTGAACTGTGGTTTTGCAGGGCAGCAGGACAGACTCCACCCCTGAATCCACCTCCACCTGGTAGACTGAGAGGACAACAAACCACAACATCATACACTTTATCTTCAAACTAAATATTTAATCTCAAGGTTTAGATTTTTGTTCATATTCGTTTATTCCTATTATTTTTCAACCCATCACATTACATTGACTATAACGGACTATAAATAAAAAACCTATTGAAAAATGTAGGAAGCTGTTTGATGTTGGAGGGGTGTGTGTGAATGTAAGCTTATCAAATCTACAATAAAACACATTCAGCTCGTCAGCCAGTTGCTGGTTCTCCACAGTGTGGGGGGACGGGATGTAGCTGATGTTCTGCCGGCCTCCACACTGACACAGGGTTGTTGAGTAGCTCCTCTCTGCTCCTTTGACCTCCTTTATCAGTGTGTTTCTGACCTGGTTGTTCTTCTGTAGGCCTCCTCCTTGGTCTGACGAAGCTACCTGAGTTTGGTTGTAAACCAGGGTTTGTAGTTGTTGCAGAAGTATGATGAGACGAGTCCACAGGAGACACTCAAATCGGTGCTGTCAAAGCTGGCCTGTAGTTCAAGCAGTGATTCGTTGGTCCATCTTCTCAAAGTCTCAACCTCAGGCTCAGCAGATTTAAGTTTCTGCCTGTAAGTCTGGATAAGATGGACCAGACAGTGATCAGAGAGTCCCAAGGCTGCATGGTGAACAAAGCGATAGGCATCCTTTACTGTGGTGTAGCAGTGGTCCGGAGTGTTAGTTTCCCTGGTGGGACGCTCAGGTTTGTTCTGTTAAAGTCCCAGATAACAATGAGCAGGGAGTCTGTTTCTTCTCCATGTTTGTTACCTGGTCAGCCAGGTGTAGTGCCTGAGGTGGGATGTAAACATCGACCAGAATAAAGAAAACTCTTGCGGTGAATAAGAGGGTTTGCAGTTAATGAATAAAGTTTCTCTACATGATTTGCTGAACACTGACATCTGTACACCAACCTTCGTTAATATAAAAGCAGATTCTGCCCCCCCTCGTTTTCCCTTCAAGCTCTGTTACACGGTCCACTCAGAGGAGCTGGAATCCCGGCAGGTGGAGGGGGTGTCTGTGATGTGCTCACTGAGCCAGGTTTCAGCAGATCTGTAAAAGTCTGTATTTGTTCTGTTAAGTAGCAGCAGTTCATCCATCTTGTTGGCCAGAGAGCGGACATTCTCCAGGTGTATTGATGGAAGTGCAGTACAACCCCTTGCTGCCTCAGTTTAACAAGCGCTCCAGCAAATCCCACAGGAGCTGCTGCTCCTCAAACTCACAACTCTGGGAAAGTTCCAGGATCAATGAATATCAGAGCTGGTGGGTGGAACAGCCAATGGGATGAGAGCATCAGTGTCGGGCTGTGGTGTTCAGATGATGAGCCACTGAAGGACACACTCTGCTGCTGTCAGATATATTTATTAGATATTCACATTGTGTTTATTTCATTAATTTAGAACGGTGCACGGACAGTTTCACCTAACTTAATATTTGTCCTACATCAGGAATTAATGGACAGCCAACAGCCAATCAGAGTCCAGTATTCACTGTGGTATAAGGGGATGTTGTTCCTATCGACAGTTGTAAAGAGAGCACCTTCATTATCGTTATTTATACTGATGATATTCAGAGAAAAAAGATCATTTTATGTTTCTATTAGTTATAAATGTGAATACTCTTTAAAAATCTCAAAGTGAACATGAAGATTTGATTTTCACCGTCTGTTTTTAATTTTTCCACACTCACTTTTTTTAATCTTCACCAGTGTGACATTTCTACACAGTGCTTTTCTTTTTCTACCAGAGAAAACTTATAAAGTAAAGTTAATATTAATATCAGTATTGTGATTACTATATAAATCAAACAGACAGAACTGACCTGTGGCTACTGACCTCTGACCTATATCTTGTAACAGCTAAAATTGTGAAATGAGTCATTAAGAGACTGTGTTGCCTAGATACGACAGAAGCGCCATCACACATAACCCGTTCTATGTTAGTTGAGCAGTACACCTGCTGTGAATGGCTGCTTGTTACTGAGCTCCTGTTTTTCTTTTGTCTCTCAGTTCAACCGTAACATTCGCACTACGCGTGGCTTCTGTTTTGTTCATGTATGATAAAATAGTAGCCATACAACTGGGCTTGATAAGGTTGATGGTCCTTATGGGTTTCAAATTATACACAATACAGGATCAGTCATATAAAACATCAATATTAGTGACATCTAATTTCTCTATATAACTTAAAAAAGGTTTCCATGTAGCATAAGACATGAATACATCCTCTTGTAGAATAGCAAATCTTCTCTAATACCAAATGGTGTAGAAGGGCATCGATCCACATCTTAAACGTTGGGGGAAGTTTCTCCTTCCACTTAAAGAGTATTAATCGCCTAGCTATGAGAGATGTGAAAGCTATCATATTCTTTGCCTGGCGGTTAAGGTGAGTGTCTTGTGGAGTTATTCCAAATATGGCAGTGATGGCAGAAGGTTCTATAGGTACTTGTAAAACATCTGAAAAAGTTTTAAATATTGACTGCCAGAAATTGTCTAGTTTTGAACAAAACCAGAACATATGTGAGAGGGTGGCTGGCATTTGCCTGCACCGATCACAAATAGGATTGATGCTAGGTGTGAACTTTGCTAGTCTCACTTTAGACCAGTGAAGATGATGCATAACCTTGAACTGGATAACTGTGTGTCGTAGGCAGACTGAAGACGAATGTATTCTATCTAAAGCTCTTTCCCAGATCTCCTCAGGAAGTTCGAACCCCAATTCGCCCTCCCATTGAATCTTTAATGACATCAAAGGCTCCAAATTATATGTATTTAGTAAGGAGTATATTTTCCCAATAGTCCCTCTGGAACCTGAATTAAGCTTCAGAATGGAATTTAAAAGGGAGTTGGGTGGCTGGGATGGGAAGTGAATAAATGATGTTGATATAAAACTACGGAGCTTCAAAAATCTAAAAAAATGAGACTTAGGGATGTTAAATTTAAGCATTAATTGATCAAAGGATGCAAAAGTATTATCAATGAATAGATTCTCTATTGTGGCAACTCCTCTATTAGCTCATTCATGAAAAGCACTGTCTATAATTGATGGCATGAACTGGTGATTTTTTATTATAGGAGCACAAGTGGGCAGATCCCTGAGAGAAAAAGCTTGTCTGAACTGTGTCAGAATTCAGTGTTTCACGATTGGATTTAAGGTGAATTTAGATATAGATTCCAAAAGAGGATGTTTTAAAGCAGAATAGCGAGTGTAAAGAAGTATGAAGACGAGGAGTTTTCAGTCAGCCAGTCAAGTCAGCTTTATTGTCAGATATGCTATATGCACGACATACAGCACAGATGAAATTTCAGTCCTCTCGGACCCACGGTGCAAACCGGCAATAAAAATACATTTTCTATAAATAAAAAAGACAAGTAAACAATCAACAATTTAACAGACATAAATAAACGATCAACAATTAAACAGACATAAAAGGGGGGCAGACGGGGGAGGGTGGGCAGAGGTGGGAATGATGGTAGAGCACACCACATTCATATGCTTTACTCTGTGATTTATTTATTAGGTTTTCAATGCGTCTTGTTGATAGCAGGTTGAACTCTGTTTGAAGAGTTAATCGCAGTTTGAATAAATCATTGGATGGGGTGACAGCAAGTGTAGTATCTAATTTGAAAATATCATTTGTTATTTGTTCAAGTTTCATATTGTGACGTTTTCTTTTGTGTGTGCCATATGATATTATTTGTCCCCTCAAGTACGCCTTCATGGATTCCCTCACTGTTAAAGGACACATTCCTGGGGTTTGGTTATGTTTGAGGAAGAAAATTATTTTAGAAGAAATAAACTTAATGAAGTCTACATCTGAAAGTAGTAAAGTATTAAGACGCCAGGGGTGATAGTTAGCATGAGAAATTGGTATACATAAATATAAAAGGCGTGATCTGAAATAATTATAGCTTGATATTCACACTTTCTTATTAGTGAAAGAAGGCTTTTATCCAAAAAGAAATAGTCTATGTGGGAGTATGTTCCGTGGACCGGAGAAAAGGAGTAACTCTAGCTGTAGAATTTTGCAAAGCGCCATGCATCAGCTATATCATTCGTATTAAGAAAAAGCTGCAGTTAAGAGGCCGCACTGGATTTGGACACAGTCCTAGACGAGCTACGGTCCAGAGTAGGTGATAATGTGCAGTTCATATCTACTCCGAGGATAAGATAATGTGTATCCATGTTGGGGATATGAGCAAAGAAATGTATAAAAAGAACTATCATCCCAATGTGGTGCGTATACGTTGGCCAGGACAACCGGTGTGTTGTACAGCCTGCCCACTACAATTATGTAACGCCCTGAGGAGTGTGTTTCAACCTTTGACATAACAAATGGGATATTCTTATTAACAAGGATGGCCACACCTCTAGATTTGGAATGGAAATTAGAAAATGATTGTCCAATCCATCCTCCTCTGAGTAGAAAATGGTCAAAGGTTCGGAGATGTGTCTCCTTAAGAAAGGCAATTCCCGTCTTTAATTTATTCAAATGAGTCAATACTTTCTTTCGTTTGATGGGGTGGTTCAAGGATTTTACATTCCAGCTTTCAAAGGTTACATCGCAAATAGCTGATCTGTTTGAAAAATCTGTAAGTTGTAGCCATATTCAAGACAGAGAAAGATTAGTGGTGTGTTACGTCCGCCTGCATTTATACTTTCTAGAATGTTGAAAGGACCTTTAAAAGTAAGTATGAACAATGAACCAAGGGGGAAAAAAGGCTGATTGTAAACCCAGGTACTGTAAATCCCCAACCCTCACCTGTCAGAACAAGGTGACTCCCAAACCCCTCGCAAATCTACACATTTAAGTGCTTGTGTGAGGATACACTAGCTCTAGGAGGAACAAACTATGCTGTATATAAAACGTAGTGTTATGGCCCTGCTCCTCTCCTGTTCCCTTTGCTCTTCCTCCTCCCCTGTGTGTGTCTGAGGGTGCGGTCTCCATTCACCTCACCTGTGCTTTGCCTCACCTGGTCTCTATCACCTCGTTAGTATCAGCCCTCAAGTACCCCGGTGTCCTTTTGCTTGGGGCCAGATTGTTTGTTCAGCAGACTTGGTGGTATACTCTTGGCTCCACTCAGTGAGTAGCTTGCTCCTTTGTGTTTTTCCCTGTTCCTGCTCTCCTGTCCGTTCCCCAGAGTTCCAGGGATTCCACCTCTTCAGAGTGTTCAGAGATCCTATCTCTCCGGAGTTTCCGGAATCTGACCTCTTCAGAGTTCCAGGGATCCTTCCCGGGCAGTCCAGGTTCCAGGGTCAGCTCTCCAGTGTTTCCGTGTCTCCGGTCTACCTGCTGATTCTCCGGCCCGCTCCTGCTAAGGCCGCCCCTCATCCCCGTGTGTGTTCGTGTTCGTGTGTGTTCGTGTGTGTGGGTCCAATTTAAACACTACCCGTCACACGTAGTTTTGTATGAGGCACCTTAGAGAATGACGGATTAAATATTTCGAACTTAAAGTTTTTTTTTTTTTAATACAAATTATTTCTTCTGTTGTCTAAGTGTGTAGAGAGAAAGGGAAATAATAACAATAAGAGAGACACACTACAGTACTCTGACCAGTCAAATTATTATATCTGTTGTGAACAAAATAAAAGAGAAACAGCACAGTTTTGATTCCTTAGGTGCTCTCTATTTCTCCATCTGGAACAGTCTGGAGCCTTATGGCTCAAGGTGATGTGTTTAGAGAGTGGACAGCACCAACCTTATTCAGATGAAAAATTTAGCTATTCTCACTCATTTCAAGTCATAGTCAGTCCGGTAGAATTCTGGTTTTCACGTAGGCCATGGCTTCTCCTTGGTTTTTAAACCGTTTCTCAGTTCTGTTATATGTGATCCGGAGCCGTGCTGGGTAGAGAAGGCCGTTTTTAACACCGTCTCGTCCACAAAGTAGTTGTCTCACCTCACTGAAAGCGGATCTGGCCTGCACGACACTCAGGGGATAATCCGGGAAAATGGAGATGTCGGTCCCTTTGAACCGGAGCGTCGCGGACTCCCTGGCGCGGCGAAGGATGTCAACACAATCTTGGTAATAGTGGACTTTCGCCACGATGACAAGGTTTACCGTCTTCGCTCCTCAGCTGTAGACCCGTGAGACCGATCGATCAGGACGTCTTTGTCCATTTTCAGTACCTCTCTTAATAGTTTGGAGACAGCTGTCGGTGTGTTTGAGCCTAGGGTCTCTGGGACGTTTAATATTCGGATGTTGGAGTGCCTCATTCTTCCTTTCATATCAAAACATTTCTCCCGCAGATTGCCGACTTCTGTCTCGAGTTTCCCCACTTTCGTTAACAACGAAGTCACGTCGTCTGAACATGAGAGCCCCTGCTCCATGTGCAACACGGTTGTTTTCATCGCCTCCACCTTGGAGCTAATCGCTGTGGTGTTGTTTGCTAGCTACGTTTTTACTGCCTGTAGCTCGGATTTGATGTTTTCAAAATCTTCAGCCAGAGCGGTCTTCAGTTCTGACCTGAGCAGCATAGAAATGTCTGTTTTCAACGATGTGAGGATTTCTGCCTTCAGGTCCGCGACATCCATTTGGTCATCAGGCTGAGGTGTCTTAGTGCTACACCTGGGTGGTGAATCATTTGAGCTTGAGGCTTTGGGCCCAGTTGCGGAGGCTCCTCCCATGAACTAGAATTTTCGCAAATTATTGGCCATTTGCGCTGCGGTATCGCAATAAAAATAACATAATGAAAAAGAATTAACTCAGAGCGATGTGTCGTAGTTTTTTGTTGATATAAGGTGCCTAAGAAGAGCTTTTAACCTGAAATTCAGCAGAGCATGTTGCTTGTGCCTGCTCCATCTCCTACTCGGTAGCGCCCAGCAGCAGTTACTCTGATGGTAACAAGACCTCTCTGCCCCATCCTTCTCTTACCCTCGATTGACTACCTGAGCAGCATGTGACCAGCTGTGTCTGGCAGTTGTGCAGTGTTTACACAGACACTGTGTCAGCTGTGGGCTGCTGCCAGCCCTATCTTTCTATACTGAGTTTACCTTTTGATAAATATAAATGCAATAAAGGATCTGTTAACATATGAATGGATTCTGTCCACAGACACCAGAGAGCCATTAATTTGGAACAGATACAGGAGGTGTTGACTTTAAAAAATGTGTTCATTTTTACATATTTTTTTTCCTGTGTGTGTGACATTCTACAGATATAGACATTGAAACTACAGAGGAAAAACTGTATATGTTGCTGGTATAATGTCAATATGACCATGAACAGACTATTTTCAGTGTCTCTTTGTGCTGCAGCTGCTCAGGTAGACAGACTGACCCTCAGCAGTCAAGGAGCTGCAAGAGCAAAGATGATAACCATCGGCATTATGGGTAATGTAGTAGTGACATACCTGACATGAAATACTGCCGAAAACGCACCAAAAGACCCCCAACAATAAGACTGAGAACCAGGAGAACCAGGAGAGCTTTGGCCCAGGATGGAAATCGTTCTGTGGGAAACAGAAACATAAAGATCGTGACCTCTGACCTGCATCTACAGTAGTTTTTAGGGTTTGTTGCTGACCTTTGACCTGCAGCTGTACTTCTCTCACTCTCCGTTGTCCTCCTGATGCTCTGGCGGTGCAGGTGTAGGTGCCGCTGTCAGAGAGGTGGAGTTTTGTCAGCTTGAGGCTGAGGTCTCCAGTTTCCAGAGCATCAGCCATCATGGATGTTCGGCCGCTGTAAAGCTGGTTTTGGTCTTTGAGTTCATCACCTTCCTGCTGACGCTGGTGGACGGTTGGAGGATTGAGATCGTAGCGGCTCCACACCACTGTGGGGTTGTCCAGTTCAAAAGTTTGAAACTCACAGGGCAGCAGGACAAACTCATCCCAGTCATACAGCTCCACAGCTGAGGCATGCTGGTAAACTGTGAGGTCACACAGACAGAGAGGTTCAATCACAGCAGCCTTATTTCAGATCTTATTGCTTCTGGATCTGGTCGTGTTTGTGATTAGACTTTGAAACCACATCAGCACAGTTTAATACCAATAAGACAAATAACAGAACAAACTGATAGACTGACTTCATTGATTCAACGTGGTGTTTAAATGAGTGTGTTAACGGTCTGAACTCCTCTTTCCTCACATCTTTTCCTTCTATCTCTCCATCACATCTTTGTCAGGAGCCACTGATACTCAGGGAGAAGACAGGACTGATGGACATGTGGAGACATTCATACAGATGAGACACACCCTGAGTGTTTGGGACCATCTGTGTCCATCTTGTACTAAATGATGTTCAGTTGTTGAAGGACTGTAACAAAGTTAATGTCCTCTAATTGTTTGTAAACTAGAAACTGACCTCTGACCCGTATCTAAAGCACTGACCTTTCTACAAGTGATTAAAATTAAGTTTGGGCACATTATTTTCTGTTTAGGGAACTTTTTATACGATTCTCTGTATTATATATTTATTCATTATTTGTCACAATCATACAACTTATAGGCTGACCTTTGACCTGCAGCTGTACTTCTCTCACTCTCCGTTGTCCTCCTAACACTCTGACGGTGCAGGTGTAGGTGCCGCTGTCAGAGAGGCGGAGTTTTGTCAGATTGAGGCTGAGGTCTCCAGTTTCCAGAGCGTCAGCCATCATGGATGTTCGGCCGCTGTAAAGCTGGTTTTGGTATATAAATTCATCACCTTCCTGCTGACGCTGGTGGACTGTTGGAGGATTGAGATCATAGCGGCTCCACACCACTGTGGGGTCGTCCATTTCAAAAGTTTGAAACTCACAAGGCAGCAGGACAAACTTCTCCCCCTCATACAGCTCCACAGCTGAGGCATGCTGGGAAACTGTGAGGTCAGAGAGATTCAATCAGCCTTATTTCAGGTCTTATTGCTCCTGGATCCTCAATCTGCTCCTGTTTGTGATCGGACTCACAAACAGGAGCAATAACAGAACAAACTGATAGACTGACTTTATTGATCCAACATGGTGTTTAAATGAGTGTGTTAGGATCATTAATACTATTGGTAATATAAGCTATAAGAATGTGAACAACCTCCAGGGATATAATCCTGAAGAACAGAACTGAGGACAGTCTGACTGTACAGTCTTCTACATTCATCATGATTTACACAAACATTGAAAATATGCTGCCTTTAATATGTTCTTCATGTTTTTATTGGAGTTTAAACAGACTAATGAAGTGAAGATGATACAAATACAGATTAAAGACATGATGTTGGACTAATGATCAGATCAGAGGGAGGAAGGTTATCTTACCGTGCACGAGGATCACAAACACCACAAACATCTTCATCTTCCTGTAAAAACTACAACAACCACAAAGTCCTCATTAATCTGCTTCTCACTAAACGAACACTTGAAAAACACATTCAGTTCACAGCCAGTTGTCACTTTCCTCCTCCTGATAATCTGCCGACACTGTGAGGAGAAAACTTTAGTTTCACTTTAAACTGTTTCCAGAGAAGCAGCCGTTGGAATGGAAAGAAGCTTTCACACAAACATTATTGGTTGATTGCCAGTAACTCCCAAAACGACATATATGAGCGGTGGAGAGTAGAGCAGTGACAGACACACTGGACCTGAAGGACGTTAAATGGCGGGTCTGTGGTGTTGAACTTCGACGTATTGCCAAGAAACAGGGAGTTGTCTAACCTCAGTGAAACTGTCAATGTTTGATAAGAATCCCACCCTGAACACACATACATGCACATATTCAGTGATACTCATAGCGCCACATACTAAACATTCCTGTTTAGTATGTAAGCCTTGTTTGGTGATCTTGATCTGATTTACATGAGATGTTGCCATGCCATATTGCCATTGCCAATACTGTTGTTACTGTGCACCTCTCTCTCTCTCTCTCTCTCTCACCCCAACCCCAACTGGTCGAGACAGACGACCACCCACCTAGAGCCGAAGGATCTGTCCTAGGTTTTTCCTTGCCCTTGTCTCCAAGGTCTTGCTCATGGTGGTACTGTTGGGTCTCTGTAAATAATGTTATAAGGAGTTCGGTCTAGACCTGCTCTATTTGAAAAGTGTCCTGAGATAACTTCTGTTATGAATTGGCGCTTTACAAATAAAATTGAATTGAGTTGAATTGAATACAGTCTCTAGTAGGAATATTGGTTCTGTATTCGTCTAAACAATATAATCAGATTGATTATTATTGCTGACAACAATACCTGGACAACATCAAAATAAGAGACATTCACAGGAAGAGCAAACTGTCCCACTTCCTGTTTTCAACACAACGAGCAACGTTTCCTCAAATGTTTGGACTGAAAAACTGAACAAAGCCATTCACAGCTTTTTCTATTCAACTGTAAAAGCAGCTTTCAACCAGCAGAGGGCGTCGCTGTGCACTTTTATAGCTAAATATCTAGAATTCTAATAGTTTTTACAGAGTGTTTGGGGGGTTTAGCTACTCCCTGAATTATATGAAGGATAAAGACCGGCTGCTCCATCACAACCTACTCCACAATGACATCCATGAGCCACAAGACCTCACAACCCAAAACTGTGTGAACAAACCTCCACAAAGTTACTGACTGTTAATATATATTATCTTATATATTTATAAATATATATATTTATATATATATAATCTATGTGTGTCAAAGACTGAATATGTTTCCTGTGGAATAAAATAAATGCATCTGCTGAGGGACAGTCAGTGAGTGTGTCTGTGTCCAACTCTTCCTCACAGGTTAGTTAATGACAGACAGTCAGTGAGTGTGTCTGTGTCCAACTCTTCCTCACAGGTTAGTTAATGACAGACAGTCAGTGAGTGTGTCTGTGTCCAACTCTTCCTCACAGGTTAGTTAATGACAGACAGTCAGTGAGTGTGTGTGTGTCCAACTCTTCCTCACAGGTTAGTTAATGACAGACAGTCAGTGAGTGTGTGTGTGTCCAACTCTTCCTCACAGGTTAGTTAATGACAGACAGTCAGTGAGTGTGTCTGTGTCCAACTCTTCCTCACAGGTTAGTTAATGACAGACAGTCAGTGAGTGTGTGTGTGTCCAACTCTTCCTCACAGGTTAGTTAATGACAGACAGTCAGTGAGTGTGTGTATGTCCAACTCTTCCTCACAGGTTAGTTAATGACAGACAGTCAGTGAGTGTGTCTGTGTCCAACTCTTCCTCACAGGTTAGTTAATGACAGACAGTCAGTGAGTGTGTCTGTGTCCAACTCTTCCTCACAGGTTAGTTAATGACAGACAGTCAGTGAGTGTGTCTGTGTCCAACTCTTCCTCACAGGTTAGTTAATGACAGACAGTCAGTGAGTGTGTCTGTGTCCAACTCTTCCTCACAGGTTAGTTAATGACAGACAGTCAGTGAGTGTGTGTGTGTCCAACTCTTCCTCACAGGTTAGTTAATGACAGACAGTCAGTGAGTGTGTGTGTGTCCAACTCTTCCTCACAGGTTAGTTAATGATGTTACTGAGTCAATGTGAGCAGATTGTGTCTGTAGACTGAAGAGAATCAGAGTCTCACTGATGGTGGAAATAAACCTTCTAATAATGAACCTTGGAAACAGCAGAGAGTAACAGGAAGTGGAGATAAACCCTCCTGTTTTCTTCTTCTGTGGTCTCGTAGTAAAAGGTGGATTAATAAACACAAACCCTGGAATTAGTTTACAGTAACGTCACATTGGACACAAACAGTTAATAAAGAGTGTGAAGCACAGAAACAGTGACAGACAGCAGAAATATGAGATTGAATAAGGTGGCTGTATATGTCAGGACACTCATCAATAACTATTTGTGTATTTTATATAGAACAACAACACAACAGCATTGTTTGCTGGATATAGGATTTATGCTCCTAATAGATACAAACAATACAGTAATGTTATTTTACGAGCTCAGAATTTACATTTACCACCAGTCAAATTAGAGGCAGTGCTTTCACTTAAAAGGGGGCGGGGCTTGACGCAATGGGACCTTCACCTGTTGAATCATAGAGTTACTACTTTAAATGTCCTACAGTGAGTTATTGTACATAAACAATCAGAGAGAAGATTGGATATTTCTATATAGTTATTGTTAATGTCTGCCACCGGGTCGGATTCCCCTTGAAATTCATTCATTATGTTATTAAAGGAAATCATCAATCTGAGACACATGGCCTCCATCATCACTGAGTGATGCTGCTGCATGAATGTACAGTATCATACTGTAAACTACAAACACTTTTCACTGTAAAGTTACAGTAATTAACTGGCAGCAGCTTTTCCAACAAAGTGCTGTATTTCTTACTGTTTCTTACAGTTTCTTATTGTTTATAAGTTTCTTACTGTATCTCTTAGAACAAAATTGCTTTAAAACGCATGAAACTTTGCACAAAATTCGCCAGTAATGAACTGCAATTATTTCCAGTCATAACACTTAAAATACAGTAAGAAAATAAAATACAGAACTTTGCTGAGGCTGCTGCCAGTTAATAACTGTAAATTTACAGTGAAATCTTACAGTGGTATTTCCACTGGGGGGCGCCAAATCACAACAAATACCAAACATAATGATTTAAGGCCCTTCATAACCTTTGACCCTTTGTATGTTTCTGAACTCTTCATATCTACACACCTTCCTGTTCTCTCAGATCCTCTTCTGCTGCCCAACTCACCACCAGGGGTCCACTCGAGGGTCCAGAGCCTTTAGCTGTTCTGGCCCCTGCTATAAGGATCCTGTCCCATAAGACAGCTGTAATGTGACTCTCCTGTGTTGATGATGTAGGAACAGGTGAAACAAGCTTTCACCAGGTGAATTATTGTAGCTGTTGTTGTAATACTCATTTTGGCCACAAGAGGCTGAAGTGCACCACTGCCCCATGTTCTAAACAGAAATAATAGCATCCATGTTTTCTTCCAGGTGAGTTTTGATACAATATGTTGTGTGTTAGTAAGTTATCTGACCTCTGTGGATAATTGGGCTCCCGGTAGAAACCTCCTGAACCATGAACACTGAAGAAATCCTAACCGGGAGAAGCTGACTGCAGTGAATGAAGAAGAATGAAGAATTACTTGGATTGTAATGGTGACGTGCATTGCTGTCGTTTCTACAAGTAGCAGTCGCCCAAGTCAGAAATATTCATTTCCATTTCCTTTAATGTGACTTTATTACTGCATTTATTTCAGTGATCAGACCTGAAAGATAAAAAAAACTATAAAAAGAAAGAGAAGAAAAAACACATTAAAGCATCAAACCATTAAAAACAACTATTCCAAAAGAAACATTTTAATACAGAATACAGTTTACAAAATAGACCAAAATACATTAACCACAAAACAGTTATTTTATTAAAAAACAAACAAACAAACAAACAAGAGAAGGTTTATCCTAGAAATTATGCTCAGTGGTGACGGCAGCACTGACATCATCATACTGTGGGTCCGATCCCTCGTCGTCCTCGCTGAGCTGAGCCATAACCATGGACACAGGAGGCGTCTTTGCTGTAGAGTTGAGTATTCATTTTATTCAATATTATACTTTTTTTTAAAAGTCAAATTGGAAAACAGATTTTTTTAGTATGTTGTGGTAAGGTGATTGACTGATTGCCATTTAAAAGTCTTCACTTTTGTCCAGACTGAAATATCAACAATAAAAATCTCTATTGGATTGATTGTGATGAAATGTTTGACTTTTCATCTAGCGCCACTGTCAGGTCAACATTTGTGTTTAATGTTTCCAACTGTATTTTACAATGTCAAATTATACCAGAAGATATCTCAGGACACTTTTCAAATACCCAACAGTTCCTACCATAAGCAAGCACTTGGCGACAGCATTAAGGCAAAACTTCCTTTTGAGAGGCAGAAACTGCGTCTTTTTGTGACAGGATGTGCTGGATTCTTTTCAATGTTACATAGGTGAAAAAACGCAGTCCTAGAAGTTTGTTGTTTTTTGTTTGTAGTTAAGGACATATCCTGATTAAAGATAACTCCAAGATTCTTTATGACGGAGCTGGAGCCTAGGATAGTGGCATCTAGAGTAACTATATCATTGGAAAATTAGTTTCGGAGGTGTTGAGGGCCAAGTACAAGTACTTAAGTTTTTATGTCCTTAAAGCAAGATTGTAATTTAGCTAACTGATTAATTTCATTTGGCTTAATCGATAGATATGATTAGGTGTCATCTGCATAACAATGAAAGTAAATTAAGTGATTCCTAATAATGCTGCCTAAAGTGAGAACGTCATGCCAAAACTAAGAAGGTAAACATGACACCTGCTAAACATCAGCATGTTACCATTCACCACAATTGTGAGCATATTAGCATGCTGATGCTAGAATTTAGCTCAGTAAAGCACTGCTATGTCTAAGAACAGATTCACAGAGCTGCTAGCATGGCTGTAAGTGTTACCTGTGGACCTGTGACGATACAAAGACACCATGAGGACAGTAGAGATGCAGTATGGACAGAACACCACTAGGTGGCAGAGCAGTCTCAGCCAAGACATGGTTGGATGTGTGGTGGATGAGCCGCGGGGATCTATAAAAACAAACACATCCAGTCAGATTAATGTCCAAAATCAATATTCCCTCAAGAGATGTTTACAGCTATACTGAAAAGCACCAGCGGATTGTCGGCACTGATGCAACCCTTGTACCAGACAACTGTGGTTCAAAGGATTCTGGATACAAGCAACCAAAAAGCAGAGAGCTGTTGTCATATGAGCCAAGAAAAAAGAGCACATGAGCACACATGGAGCTGAGAATGCATTAAAAGGAGATGTATGACTGATGTTTCTACTCACCTCTGACAAACAGCCAGCTGGATGGAGACTCTTCATGACCGCCGATGTGACACTTGTAGAGGCCTTCATCAAATGTGGAAACATTGTGGATGGTCATGTGACCTGTAGGCTCAGTCCTGATGAGGGAGCCATCTTTATAGAAAGCAGCTGTGAGGTTGGAGGGAGGGGTCTTTGTTTTACAGTGCAGAGAGACATCATCTCCCTCCATCACAGGGAGGACAGGACTCTGCAGGATCACTGGTCCACCTCAACACAAAGACAAAATAAATGTCTCTCTTAAAGATAATGAAATGTACGTTTTCTCTGGCCCAGTGTATTTTACAAACACAATGTCTTTAATGTTGTCAATAACAAATCTTCTGTGGTTCATACTCATGTGGAACAGGTTTTTTTTATTGCACCTACCATGTACAGAGATTTTGACAGAGTTGCTCCGCTGCCATGCAGGAGATTCACACCAGTAAATTCCACTGTCAGGCACCTTTACCGTTAGGAACAAGCAGCCATCAGGGGTAATACTTTGTTGGGGACAGCTTTGCAAGACCAACTTGCCGTCAATATGTACGGCCCTCTTGACCGTCCATCCGCGAGAGATGCGGTCGTGACCACAGCTCAGAGACAGGTTTTTATACTCAAACAGCTGAGCCGAGTTAGGCGACGGTGTGAGCGAGGCTGGCGCAGAATTGTCTGGGGAGAGATACAGACTTTCACTGAGCCAGATCAGGAACAATCAGCTGCAGTTCCTCTAATGACCACTAGATGCACTGTACAACCATGTCTTCTACAAAAAAACCTTTGTATGCTGTGTGGCTGCTGTGGTTTTGCCAGGTTGTTGTAGGGATATTAAGGTTACTTGGGTGTATTATTTGTTTGCAGCAGTCATACAAGCAGCATTATAATTGTTTATTTGAGGATTGTCCGTCAGGTTTGGGCACAGAGAAAGCACTGGTGAAAATTACAAATGACCTTTTCATTGCCTCAGACAAAGGACTCATTTATGTACTTGTCTTTTTAGATCTCAGTGCCACATTTGACCTGCTGGTCTTTCACCACTGACATGTTCAATAACTTTTTCCGCAAATTTGACCAATTACTGTTGTTTCAAAGCATTGTTTTTCTAAACATTGAGCCATATGTCACCAAACTCCCTTCTTGTTTCCTGTTGACAAGATGCAGACATGTGCAGACGTAAATGTCTCGCAATTTTATTTTTACAGGAACAAGTTGCCTTCAAATTTTAATGAATTATACAAAATAATCGCTAATATTTTTTGCAGTTTTCATATTTCATTGCAAAAAGAAGAAATTCCTCAAAACATGCTCATACATTTGATGTATGACTGATGTTTCTACTCACCTCTGAGAAACAGCCAGCTGGATGGAGACTCTCCATGACTGCCAATGTGACACTTGTAGAGGCCTTCATCAGACCTGGAAACATGGTGGATGGTCATGTGACCTGTAGGCTCAGTCCTGATGAGGGAGCCATTTTTATAGAAAGCAGCTGTGAGGTTGGAGGGAGGGGTCTTTGTTTTACAGTGCAGAGAGACATCATCTCCCTCCATCACAGGGAGGACAGGACTCTGCAGGATCACTGGTCCATCTGAACACAGAGACAGACTACAGCATTTCATCCATTTACACACAGATATCTGAACATGGAGAAAGATGGAAAATGTATCTACAACTAGAGTGTTAGATCAATGGCTGGTTAATGTCAGGGAGGGTGCTGCGTGGTGGTTCTTTAAAGGTTGTTATCTTTTAACAAAGGATCTTATTGTTTCTGGGTTGCATTAATTATGTGAAACAGTTGATGCACATTATGAGAACCCTGTCTGTCTCTAATAAACCCTGTTTGGTCTGCATATATAATATTTTATAATCTGCATTAAATAAGCCTGCATGATTCACATTTGTGTTTGTCTTTCCCTGGGTTGGAGAGTAGTGTAATAGTTTTCTTCATTAGTAAATGATTCTATGATCACATTTGTTTATTGAAGAATGCTTTATAATATCGGGAAGCCATCAGGACCTGGTGACTTGTTATTCTGTTATTCTACTATTACTGAGTACTCAGAATTATGGCCAGATTGATGTATAACATGTTTAAAATCTACTGTTTATGTCTCTGTTTTAATTACCTGGTTACATTTTTTAATTTGCTAATAGGAGAAATGTGCTTGTCTTGTCTCCAAATTAATAATAATGGTACCATGTCCTCGCCACTGCTGCTTCTACGTTTCCAAGTTAGTGAATTTAAGGGTTTCTGTAATGTGCAATGTATCTGTTCACATTCACAAATTCCTTTTTCTAACTGAATCAACATTTTCTTTTTAAGATAAGAAAACCTTTATTTGTCCTGCAATAGGGAAATTGCAGTTTGCAACAACATACAGAAAGGGCAGAATAAGAGATAACAAGAGCAAAGAGTAGCTCATAAAAGATAAATAATGAAATAAAGTAGCATTGCACAGACTGGTGTCAAACTGGTGTTTTGAAGTTTTTACACCTTGTGGTGTAATACTATTGCACATATTAAGAATGTTCGTTGTGGAAAGACCTTCTATATCTTTCCTTCACACATCGAGGGTGAAGCAGTCTGTCACTGAAGCTGCTCCTCAGTTCTGTCAGGTCACCGTGCAGGGGGTGGGACTCATTGTCCAGCATGGATGACACTTTAGCCAGGACTCTCCTGTCACCCACCTCCCTCACTGAGTCCAGAGGGCAGCCCAGGACAGAGTTGGACTTCCTGATGATCTTATCCAGCTTCTTCCTCTCCCTCTCTGTGATGCCACTGTTCCAGCAGACCACTCCGTACAGGATGGCTGATGCCACTACAGAGTCATAGAAGGTCTTCAGGAGTGCCCCTTTCATTCCAAAAGACCTCAGTCACCTCAGAAGGTAGAGCCTGCTCTGTCCTTTCCTATAGAGTGCATCAGTGTGGTGAGTACTGTCCAGTTTGATGTTGAGGTGAACACCCAGGTAATAACTTTTATAAGAGTCCACTTGCTCAAAGTCCATTCCCTGGATGTTCACTGGTGAGGGGAGGGCAGAACGGCGTCTGCGAAAATCCACCACCATCTCCTTGGTTTTCCCCACGTTGATCAGGAGGTGGTTTCGCTGACACCAGTCCACAAAGTTCTCCGTCAGTCCTCTGTACTCTGCGTCGTCATCGTCTCTGATGAGGCCAACAGTCGCAGAGTCGTCGGAGAGTGTTGTGTCTGAAGTCTGCTGTGTAGAGGGTGAAAAGAAAGGGGGCCAGGACAGTCCCCTGGGGGGCACCCGTGCTGCTAGTGAGCAGGTCAGACACACAGTTCCTGTTTCTCACAAACTGTGGACAGTCTGTGAGGTAGTCCATGTAGACAGCTGGTGGTCCACACCCATCCTCTCCAGTTTGTCCCTCGGAATCACCGGCTGGATGGTGTTAAACGCACTGGAGAAGTCAAAAAAGGTGATTCTCACAGTGCTGCCGGGCTTTTCCAGGTGTGAGAGAGCTGGATGTTGCAGGAAGATAACGGCGTCCTCCACTCAAACATTAGGACGGTAGGCAAACTGTAGTGGGTCCATGGAGGGGCCCACCTCGGAGCGGAGACGTCCCAGTATCAGTCTCTCCAGTGTCTTCATCAGGTGGGATGTAAGAGCCACCGGTCTGTAGCTGCTAAGGTCTTTAGGGTGCAATATTTTAGGCACCGGAACCACGCATGGCTGCATGGGGGGGAGGAGTGGGTGCTTGATCAAACCTATTGAAATGTAGATTTAGATCGTTGACCCACTGTCGATCCTCCTCAACCTGTACATGGGGTGTTTTGTAGCCCGAAATGGTTTCCAGGCTTCTCCACACCCCTCTGATATTCTGCCTCTGCAGCTGCTCCTCCATCTTCCTCCTGTAGCTGGCCTTTCCCTCCCTGATCTTCCTTCTCAGCTCCTTCTGTACGGTCCTCCCTGATCTTCCTTCTCAGCTCCTTCTGTATGGTCCTCAGCTCATCCTTATTCCCTGATCTTAATATCAGGGTTAATCCACAGCTTGTTATTTGAGAAACAATGTACCACCCTAGAGGGAACGATGTTCTCAAAGCGGAAGTTTATGTAGTCCGTTATGCAGTCTGTCATGGCATTGATGTCCTCCCCATGTGGATCACACAGTTCTGTCCACACAGTGGTGTTGAAGCAGTCCCTGAGAGCTGCCTCGCTCTCTGCAGTCCACCTCTTCACTGTGCGTGGGACCACAGGCTGCCTGTGTACAGTAGGCTTATATACAGGCTGCAGGTGAACAATGTTATGGTCAGCTCTTCCAGGGGGGGGAATGCAGAATATACCTCCTTGGTGTTGGCATAAAACAAGTCGAGTGTTTATTGTTTATTGTCTCTTGTGGGGCAGGTGACATACTGAGTGTATGTGGGCAGAACAGATGAGGGAGAAGCATGATTGAAGTCTCCAGAGATGAGGAAGAGGGCCTGTGGGTGCTGTGTCTGCAGCTCGCTGGTAACTGAGAGCAGGGCATCAGAAGCTGTGTCCGCTTTAGCAGATTGGGGGGACGTACACCACTATCACAATAGCATGTGAAAACTCCTGTGGCAGATAGTAGTTAGCATGAGACCATACTAACAGTTCAATGTCCTTACTACACAGTTGTGCTTTAACAGTGCAGTGTGTAGGTTTACACCACCTCTTGTTCACGAACACAGCCAGGCCTCCTCCTTTCCCCTTACGGCTGTCAGCTGTTCTGTCTGCCCGCAGAAGGTGAAAGTTGTCCAGCATGTGGCGTCTGGGATGCTCGGTGTGAGCCAGGTCTCTGTGAAAAGAAGGACGCTGCTCTCTCTGTACTCCCGTTGGTATCGTCCGTCTTGTTGGGTAGAGATCCGCTTCGTGCATTGTTACGCCGGCCGGTCTGGATATTGTTAAAAATAAGGACTCCCAAAAACAACAAAAGTGCAGTGCTGTCTTAAAAAGTATATACAAAGTAATTTCCACAAAAAGGGAAGCAAAAAGTGAAATAAATTAGAAAAAAAAGAGAGATCGAGTAAGAGCTGACCGGCGCCGGTCTGACTTTAGGTGCTCTGTATGATCAAATATGGCCTCTTATGTTTCCTTTGAGAAATGATGTGATGCTGAATTCGAGTTGGTCTCTAAACAAGTATCTATGTGAGTATTTATAAATACTATAAACTCTGGGTCTTTCAGTAAATATGATTTAAATCTCTGTATTAGGATAAACTAACAGCGTCCCCATCGTAAGCATATTCTGAGACTGAACACATTCATTCTAAAGTATGTGTACATCCTTGTAATGTGGATGTTTATATGCCATATGTCACAGACACAGCAAAGTCTTTGTGTTGGCAGTTTGTGTTTCTTTGGTAACGGTCTTTGTCATGATAATTGCGCCTCCACCGAGCTGAATCATCATACAAACCCTGATTCACTTCCTTTTATTGTCATCAGTTCCCTTTAAAACAATTTATGTGAATCACTGAAATGTTGTCAGTCAACAGCAGATATGTTTTGGACTATGTCTATGTTGACTCCACATGTTGTAAGAGTTTGTTTTATTTAATAACTAGCACTGACTGATGATATTGAATGAGATGTCAAATCTGTGGTCAGCACAATACATGTGCTGAAAAGGAAGTAGAAGAGGAAGTATTGTCCAGCAGGCACAGTGTAATGTAATTTTATGGATCTTACCAGTGACAGTGATGTTTATGCCATTACTGCTGTCTCCGTTTTTAGATTCACACCAGTACACGCCACTGTCGGGCGTTTTCGCCGTCTTAATCTCGCAGGCAGAGAGAGTGGGGAAGCCCCAGCCGGACCCACACTGTGACATAAATTTTTCCAAACTGTGAACACATCATCACAGTTAATTGATCTGTTTGAATTAAACCTGAAGAGACAATCCAACATTAGTCACAACATCAAAACCAGAATCAGACACATTGGTTGTTTCTTGCTTGTTAAAGTGATCGATCTTAAACTTGCAGTCCAGCGTCCGAGGAATTACTTCCAAATTCTGCACCTAGAGCCGTCCCGATTACTACTGTTGGGCTTTGATACATCAGTTTGAATGACAGAGAGCATACTAAATGTAAAGACTACAATCCAATGGATGATTTGGAGAACGATCGTCAGGAGGAATATAAAGTGTGCCAGGTTTATTGGTGACGGAGTAAAACACAAAAACTGCACCTTGTGTATCGCCACACGTTCCATTCACCAGGGCCGAACTGCTCACAGCTCACAGAGATCTTCTCATAATTGAAATGTTGAGACTTGCTGGGAGAGACGACCACAGAGGCTGGAAGAGACAGAAACTGATTTTTATTTTGTTTATAACATTTGCAGTGTAAAAATCTGTGTATTAGTTTTGAGCTGCTAATGGACAGTCTGTCCGTCCACCGCTGTGTTCCAGACTGAAATATCTCAACAACTATTAAATGGATGGTCACAAAATCTGGTTCATGCATTCATGTTCCCCTCCCCTGCAAGGCTAATCTATGTTGACTAACAGGAAGTTGTTAATTTAAACCTGAAATTGATATGTTTACTTCAGAAGATGCTTTTTTAGTAAACAATTTACATTTTACAATTTATAAGTTTTGCTTACCCCTTACATGTGACTATATATAAATGTCTCTCTTTGAACCATCTTCAAAATGTGGTTGTCTTTTCAACACAGATTAGTCCAGGGCCCACATATATGAACAATGTGAAGGCACAAGTATCATTTACACCCACTTCTCACAAGTGGTATTTATAAAAAAAGAGGAAGTGTGCAGCTCTCACTGCTTCACACCAATATATACATGTTGTCATTTGCAGTCTACACACCCGTCTGTGAACTGTCAATCAAACTTCATTGTGATGATTTACTTTTGTGTTATCAGCTTGATTAAGATCAGCTTAAATGTTTTCATTTTTTCTCTGTTCAACTTCTCTGTCCTCTTCCTTTCATTGACATCTGCTTATTTCTGTACACACAGTCTGGCCCCTGAACTTTGTACATCCTCCCTGATCCTTCCTGTGTGCCCCAAACATGTTGTTCAACTGGAAAAGTTATAATCCAGGCAGCCATTACATTCCTGTTAAAACATCTCTGGTAGGGACCTTCTCTCTCTCTTCCCTCTCCGGCTAATAAAGGCATTAAATATGGTAAAATTACAAGAATTTTCCAAGAACGTGCCATTCTCCACCTGTCCGCCAGATGTCCTCTAGTTGTGCTACCAATCCTGCTCACCTGACTCCAACAGTCACCTGCCTCTCATTACCTCATCAGTCTTTACAAGCGGCTCACCTGCCTTCTCTTCCCTTTGCCAGGTCATCACATTGTCTTCCAGCCACCTGGACCAGATTTCCTGTTCCTGATTTTCTTGTGCACACAACAATACAAGAAGTGACCAAATGGACCCAGCAGGTCTGGGGTTTCCATGGACCATGAAATGAGGTGACTAGGCTGTCAAATCTACCAAAACCAATAGAGCAGAAGTACTTGTGCTGCAATGCATAACAAGGCGGAGGTTGATAATTTCTGAGTGGGTATCCCGACTTCTGATCTGAACACGTCCCAGTGGACAAGAGGAACAGAGGACTCAGCTGATACTACAAATAGTAAAAGTTTGATGGGAAGGTCATTCTGCTTTCTGTTCTCTTTGTGTGCCACCATTTTGCTCGCCTGAGTTCCCAACTTAAAAATTCTGACTTGAATGAACGCTGCATTGCACTTTTCTGTGTTTAAAGTAGTTTTTGTAGAGTACTACATATTGCAGCATCAGCTGAGCGTTTATTGCCACTCCCAGGCCAGGATGAATGGGGACAGTTGTGTCAGGAGGGGGATTTGGCATAAAAAGCAGATGCAACATTGAATACGCAGATCATCGCCTCTGTAGTGACCCCTACGGACGGAAAGCAGCTGAAAGACTAGAAGACACAAGTAGTTTACAGGAATTGTGAATCAACTGTTATAGTCCTCCAAATTAAAGTACATATTACGTGGTTTGGTGTCCAGAGCGATGGTAGAGCGAAGTGTTTTCTGAAGTCACAATGAACAGGATGACGATTCTGGTTCTGTGAAATTGATCGGCCCTCCCTGGTATTTTTGTCCACATGAGTACCTGTGGTGAGCATGGTTGTACCCACTGGGGCCTCTGAGGTTACTAAGTACTCAGTAAAAGTTGTGAAATAATTGTCTAAAAATAACTTAACTTTGATGCTTTGATGCGTAGCCCTTAAGCCCTCGAGCAAGTCTTTGGACCTCAGTATTTCTAAGACCTTGCGTACAGCAGTGCTAATGAAGAACTCTGGAACAACTAAAGGAAAACGGCACTGACATTTTTTTTGATAAAATTGATTAAAAAAAACTGCAAAAAAAACCCCAATGAAAACAATGTGGTAGAAACACTGCTGCTTTTGTCCACAGGGGGCACCAGAATCAACACCTAAGGAAAGTACCATGTAGAAGTTTTTAAGGATAGGGGAGCTTCATCGTCATGGTTACTTTTACCACTCTATTACGGTTAGTGATGATGGTGGTTGTGTGTTGACTGTTGACTGGTGGCAGGAAACAGGATGTGGAGAGTGATCTTTGATGTTTTGTTGACCTTTGCTCCCACCTTCCCCCATTATGGGTGACTTCCTCGCGTCATAATCACAACAACCACTAGGGGCCACTGGCAGCTCAATATAAAGGTTTTTTTGTTTGGAGGTGTTTACTGAAATAACTGATGCAAGAGGACAGACCTAATCTGAAGCAGTGGGGCGGCGGGGGGCATTTACAGATAATACAGAATATGCATCTGCAACATTAAGGTGATGTCCTCATTAATGTGTTAATGAGTATAATCCAATATTATACATTAATCTGAAATGGAGCATTATGCAAACTGAGTAGGCACTACTTAAACATCTTTATCCTCTGAGAATAATTGAATTCTGTTATACACATGAAGCTTGAAACTTACCACGACTGTGGACGAAGATACTGCAGATTCTCAACGACACTGAAACAACAGTCATAGTCAGACTACTGTGTGTGTGTGTGTGTGTGTGTGTGTGTGTGCACAAACAATTATTTCACCAAATCAAACATTTAAATATTCAGCTCCATCATTACTGGTAACTGTATAGTGGGGCAGGTAGACGGAAATATTCATAACAATGGTGCATTTTGCGATTAAAGCGACACATGTAACACAGATGTGGGTTTATAAGTTTTGATATTGGAGCGTTGCAAATTCATCCTCTCTCAAAATGGCCACCGAATACATGAAATGTTTCTGAAATTTTTCAAAAACTGATTTTATGACTTTTATAGATGCCAAGGTGTGTTCCAGCTCATTAGATTAGATGTATTTATTTGTCTAAGGATGCTTTTTAAAAGCTAAACCTGAGAAAAACACAAAAATTAAAAGGCGCACTGTCACCTCAGGGTCAAACGTCTCCCTTGTCTGCAGGCTAGAATGACAACCGACTACAGAATGGCAAGATCTTTCCATCGATGCATTTCTCTTGTCATTAGCGTTGCAGCATTAACTGACAGAGATCAGAACTTTGCATATTCATATATATTATTTAGGGATGCACCAATACCACTTGTTTCCAACCAAGTACAAGTACTTACATTTGGGTTCTTGCCGATGCGAGTACCAATATGAGTACTTAATAACACCATTGCAGTTCTAACAGTGACTTGAAAAACATGTTTTTATTCTCATCATGTATTCCTCACATTGACTGCAACAAATTAAATATCAATGATGTTGTTGTAACAGTTGCTTTAAATTGTTTCTCCTCGGCCTACCTGCGCAGCTAACGAGAGGTAATCGGAGTAGTTTTATGATTACAAGTACGAGTACAGCTCATTATCAGACCGGTTCCTGATACTTGCATCAATGCATCCTTAATATTTTTATTTTAAACACGTTTATATAGAAAACAGTGGTCAGGCTACAACATCATACTGAGGTAAATTAAAAACCAGTTACTTTGTTTAGTCTTTGTCACACAATGCAAATGTGATGGTAGCTCTGAACGCAACCCTTAATACACTTGCGTGCTACAAGCTCATTGCAGGCTTTATATGCCTCTACCGGGGTGGTCCAGTGAGGTTTATCCAGACCCTCATCGGTCTTGGTCCAACCCCGGAGAGTTGGGGACGCAGGTGACGGCAGTAGTGCCAGTCCTGAAACTCAGCTGTGAAAAAGGTCTATACACAGAACTGAGAGTGGTTGCTAAGAAACGAGTGAGGAATAATTATAATCCATGAATCACTATTAACTCAGAATGGAGGAGTATTTAGTAGATAATGGCAATTTACTAGAGAGCTGACTGGGAGATATTGTATGAATGAATGATCAGGGAAGGATTACTTCATACACTTACTGTGAATAAACGCACATCGCTCCTGATTGAGCAGTAAGTATTAAAGATTGTTAAATTACGTAAAGTGATACATCCTACTAGTTAGTTACTAGTTATCCTTTATTACTAAGTAGGTCAATTTAAAAAACTCTGTTCCTCGTTCCTTTGTAAGACGTGTGTATGTTACTGTAAAGTTGAATGAAAATACGTCTCTATTACTGCCTGAAATGCTGAATTAACAATGTTAAAAGTGTTTACTACTTACGGAAGAAAAGCAGAGTTGCCTTCATTGTGTCTGCAGGTTGAAGCGTCACTGACCGTCTGGTAGAAATGTGGTAGAGTACATCCTGTTAAATCAACCACAGTGAGGGCGGGAGGGGGTGTGAGCACAGCACATGGCAGAGTAGAACGTATATTTTTATCCAACTTAGTTCTGATATTCATGTGTTAATATTTGATTGCATGTTTTCATTTTTTTAATTTTCAGTTGTTTTAAATATCATGTGTTGTATATATATTTCCTTTTTTGCTGTTCACCTGTTCATGTCCACAAAGAGACACTGAAAAAAAAGGCTCACATCCTGTTTATCTGAAAGTGGAGTCTTGATCTTTCACCACAGATAGCTTTGTGAAGTCGCTTCAGTAAAGATAACTGTTACAATAAATCCACCTCAGAGTTCTTTAGAAATAAATCCTCATACTGCAACATAGTTCATGAACATTCAATACTTTTTAAACCTTGTATCAGTCACTACTTCTTTTAAAGACAACATTCTACATTTCTGGAAATATTTTATTATCTTTTGTGTTCTTGTGTCAGTACAACTGTTCTTACTCCCAAGTTATCAAATAATTATACTTGGTCACGTTTGCTGTACGCTGCTGGTAACCCTCGTCCGCTGTTGAAGTAAGAGCCAGAAAGTCTGCATATGGAGGTGGTCGGTTGTTGGTGTCCCATGTGAAACCAAAAGTCAATGATTTGTTGAACATTATGTACGTACCTTTTCCTAATCCGTTTTTTTTCCGACAACTTGCAAACGTGAAGTTAGTTGTTACCTGAAAGCAGGTTTTAACTTCACCCTTAACAGTTAAACCTTTTGTGGTAGTGTTGATTAAAATGATTCAGAAGCTCCAATCATTCTATAGTTGGGTTTCTGTATGTATCTGGGAGCCAATAAGAAGGGGTCTGAGCTCCTGTGAAAGCAGTAAAATCTTAAATCTATGGAGGCCGCTAATATATTACAAACAATGTTTTTAATTTTTTAACTATTTTAATCACAAATAATGCATTTTTCAGTTGAATTACTATTATTTCTTTTGTATTGACTGCTTGCTTTCTATTGGATTCACAACTCGCAAAAACCAATGCATCCTCCCACCAGTGGAGCACTACATAGGGTACTGTGCGTTCTCGCTTTGAGTGATGGCAGTTGGCATATTTCAGGCTGGTTGCAATATATGTTCGAGACTCCCACAAAGCTCAGATTATAACTCGAACCCTGTCTATAGTACTTCTGTTACTGGAATAAAATTCCCAAATACACGTACTAGTGATACTGCAGCTACTGCAACACCACTGCTTTTACTGCAATAACAGCAGTGTTAGTGTCTCTAAAGTGTCCGACCCTGCGGTTACTTGGCTGCACTGTGGTCTGAGGAGGAAGAAATGAAAACATATGATACTAGTAACAGACAGGAAACACTCAAAGGCAGAACTCTACTGATTGTATCACAGTATAGTCTGTCACATAATGACATTTTTAATTCTGTTTCCTCTTTATTGAGAATTTGTTATTGCACTTGTTTTACCTCACATTGCTGTGAAACTGTGCTGTGGTGAATTCATGTTTGAAAAAATAAAGTGACACTATCAACAGCTCTATTCTCTCTCACACACCTTTAATCTTCCCATAATATCACTGGTAGCGCCTTCCTGCCTAAGGTCAAATCTTACGAATAGGTCGGCAACATCACCAGTGTTTGGTGTTTGGTCCTCATCTTTATCCGCCGATGCGCTGATGACGCCAGCCTCAGAGTCATTTTTGACTGTAACCCCTCCTGTGAACACCACGTCAAACAGACCAGCACAGCTGCCTTTTTACACCTGAAAAACATGGCTTGTGTCTGCCTGTCTCCTCTTGCCCTGATCAATGCTTTTATCATATCCAGAATTGACCACTGCGATGACATTTTTTTATGGCACATCATCCAAAATCCTGAATAACTCAATCCAATTATACCCAGAACTATGCTGCTCGCCTTCTCCGTAACTACCCCCTATCCCCCGAGACTGTCCACGTTCAAATCACTAATCACAACCCATCTTTTCAGAAGTCATTGACTGTTGTGTGTTGTATGTTAGCTAACAATAATGTAGATGATCTAGCTAACTAGCTAGCTAATGATTACTATAGATTAGTTAGCTAGCATTTCGCTGACATTAGTTAAGATGTGACTATATATACTGTATGTTGTTTTCAACATGGACATGACATAAAATACTAACATAAACTAAATCAAGTGTAATCATTTGTACTTATTTTTATACTATTGATACAGTAAATATCTCTTAGTGTCTAACTTTATTATGTTATGTTTTATACTAACTAACTTACCTAACTGACCTCTTGTAGTCGTAGCAGTAAGTGACACAAGTCTTGAGTTTTCTTGTTTTACTATTATATCATATAATTGTATCCATCATATACAGCGAGGTAATGCAAATCATAAAGGAAACATACAGCAAAGACATAAAAAAAAACACATCTGCAACTATAGAAGGTTAACTTAAGGTGTATAATATATAGCTTTCTGTTGATTGTCCAATCAGAAGCCTCATAGCTTGCTCTCAAGGGTCACAGTGTCTTTTTCTTGACCAATCCCGTTGCTGGTTGGAGCTGTGGCTCCGCCTTCTGCATCATCTGCTGAGAAAAAGATCAAAAGTGTCAGTAAATATATGATTTATCTATCAATCTATAAGGGTAGGGTTAAGCGAGGGTCCTCACAAGTATAGATAGACCAATGTGTGGTGTGTGCTGACCTTTGACCTGCCGGGTCAGCAGACGTGGTCCTGCCAGTCCGATACCCAGAGCTCCAATAGGCGCTGTGGTCAGGATGGCTAACACGGCTAACGTTAGCACATCCAAACCGAACTTAATTAAGGTCTCGTCGCCCTCCTCCCTCGCCATGTCCAACGCCTTGGAGCCAATAGCAGCCTGACACAAGATAAACAGATAAACACACGTTGGACAAACAACTGAAAGCCTATGAGCATTGAGATTCATGTAGTCTCTGAGGAGGTTCTGCAGGTCCTTTATAAGGTCCTAGAGGTAACTTAATAAATGGGAAGCGGTTCTAGTGGTCCCTAGGTGGCTCCAGGTGTCATTTAGGTGGTCCTAGGAATCCTTTATACAGTTCTAGGAGTCTAATAGGAGGTTTTAGGGTTCACTTCAGTGGTTCTTAAGGTCACTGATGAGGTTTTAGAGGTCGTTTAGGAAGTTCTAGCAGTCAATAAAGAGGTTCTACAGGTCCATTGGGTTGTTAGACATCAATTAAAGGCTCCTAGCAGTCAAAGGTGGTTAGTTGGTTCTTCTGGAGGTTTTAGGGGCCATTGAAAAGGTTCTAGAGGTCCTTTGGGTTGTAAGTCATTCTTTAAAGGCTCCTATAGGTTTTAGGGGTCATTCAGGTGGTTCTTGTTAGTGATGAGGTTCTTTATCACACACACACAAACAAACACACACACACACACACACACACACACACACACACACACACACAGACCTGTACGGTGGCTTTAGGCAGCCAGGCCACAGAGATGAAGATTTTCTCCTTCAGATTAAATCCTCCGAAATGAACCAGCAGGAAGGTGACAAGCAGGCGGATCACCAGACCGATGCTGATACAAGCCAGACCTAAACCTGAACACAGAGAGCCAACAAAGAGAATGTAAAATATGTGTTTGATACCTGGTTTACTTGTTTCCTGGTTGTTTTGGCGCTTACCCACTGTACTGGGGCTGAGGGTTGCTATGGTGATCTCTGCTCCAATCAGACCAAAGAGCAGCGGCTGGAATACATCCCACGACTGGCCTACCATGGCTGCCACCGGGGCCTGGACATACAGATGAACATTAAACTCAAACAGTCCAGAATCAGTTGTGTGAACAGGTGTTTAATCCAGATTAAAGTTGTTACCTTGTCGGTCTTCCAGCCCAGAGCAGCCAGAAAGGCCAGCACCAGTGTACAGAGACCACCAGCTCCGGCAAAACCAATAACATGACTGAAGAAGACAGAAAATACGGACAGACCCAACAACATGAAAGTCCTCCTCAGAACCAGGTCCTCCTGCAGGGAGACAGAATAAAGAGTTAATTCAATCACATTTAAAGTTTATAAGAACACAAAATCCAACCACAGTCTCACCTGGTCTTTGCTGGGGAAGCAGTACAAGAACAGACCCAGGATCAGCCCGGCTATGACCCCTCCCACCACCTCCAGCAGACCCTTCAGTATGTTCATCCACGTAGAACCTGCAGGGCAAACACAGCATGAAAGAACAGAACAAAGTGGAACCAAGAGGAACAGAATAAAATAACACAGACCTGTAGAGAATGCGATTCCCAGACAGGTAGAGAACCCGGTTATGGCCAGAATATCATCAAAACTCCCAGCAGCCATCAGCAGGGTGGGGATCCCCTGAACAACACAGAACATTAGTAGAACGTTAATAGAACATCACAGAATTACAATAAATAAGTTATTAGAGACCTACTGGAGATTCTAGTGGTAACTGAAGAGGTTCTACATTTCCTTTAAGAGGTTCTAGTCGGCCTTCATGACATCAATTCAAAGGAACACTGAAACTGTTCTTGGTGCTCGGGTGGAACAACATCATCCAAACACAAATTATCATTTATAAAGCAGGTTCTAAAAGTCCTTTACGTAGTTCTAGTGGTCATTAAGGGGGTTCTAGGAGTCCTGGAGGGGGTTCTAATGGTCACTAAGCATACTTTGAAGCTACTAATTGAAAGGCTTTTGGAAGTCCTTGTCGTCTTTGAGGTTCTGAGGGTCTTTAGGGGGTTCTTGTTGTCTTTGAGGGGATTCTAGCAGTTCTTTAGGTGCATATATTTGTAATTACTGGGGAAGTGTTCTTTGAGGAAGTCTTTAGGGTGGTTCTAGTGGTCATTAAGAAGGTTTTAATGGTTCTATAGGAGGTTTTAGATGGTTCTAGAGGCTCTTTAGAAGGTCTCTGTGATCACTGAAAAGGTTTAATGGCTTTAGGAGGTTCTTGTCATCACTGAAAAGGGTTGGGTGCTCATCTAGGTTTTATTGGTCATCAAAGAGGTTCTTGTGGCCAGTGAGAAGGTTCTGTGAGTCTTACAGGTGCTTCTGGTGTTTTTTTGATCACAGTAATGTTTTCAGCTGATGGTTTACCTTCTCCACTCCGTATCCTTCTCTCTGCAGGAGCAACATGGACGGAACCACAACTGCTGGAGAGACTGCAGCCAGGACAAAACTACACACACACACACACACACACACACACACACACACACACACACACACACGCACACACACACAGTCACTGTATTGATTTTCAGTACAATCTCACAGATACAGAAAGCTGTTCTTTCCATGTATCTATTCATGATGAAGTGTGTGTGTTACCCCAGTATGAAGCCCCAGACCCACGGCAGACCCAGCAGGAAGTGAGAAACCACAGCAACGATGCAGGCCTCCACCACACAGGGGCCGATTGCGAGACGCACACACACCGCCTTCAGACGCCTCAGCGCCTGCACACACACATTTCATTATGAGGTACGTGCAGTTTATTTTACTGTGTGTGTGTGTGTGTGTGTGTGTGTGTGTGTGTGTGTGTGTGTGTGCACACTCACCGAGGGGTCGAGACCCAGTCCGGCTCTGGTCAGGATGATTGCGAGGGCGATGTTCCTCAGAGCTGCAGACCAGTGAGTGTCGATGTAGACGGCGTCCGTTATGTAGGGAACATTACGCAGCAGCAGGCCGGCCAGCAGCATACCTACAGGAGGTTCAGACATTTAAGACCGCACTCAGTCGTGATCAAGTTTTAGAATAGTTAGGGGTCAGGATGGGTCGTACCAAGCAGTGGAGGGAAGGGGGGCAGCGTGGGCAGTTGGATCATTCCCACCAGCTTCCCTCCCAGCACGGCGCAGATGAAGAGGATGACGATGCCAAACAGGTTCCCTCCAGGTAAACACTGACTTCCTGTGATGGACCAAACGACTCCGAACAGCAGAGCGAACAGACACACTGCGCGCGCGCACACACACACACACACACACACACACACATACACACACACACACACACACACACACAGGTTAATACACACAGTCTCTCAGTCTCTACAGTGTTCCCCTGTTGGAGCTGACCAACGGTGGCCATTTTATTTGACATTTTGCAAATTATGTTTTTATGTTAGTACTTCAACTGATGGACTGTGTGTGTATTAATGTATTAACACACACACAGACACACACACACACACACACACACACACACACAGACACACTCAGGTACCTTTAGTAATGACCAGGCTGAAGAGTCCATGAGGTCGAGGACATCTGTCCTTCAGGCTGATACAAGACGAACAGCAGGAGGACGAGTCAGATGCTGCCATCTTCATCCAAACACACACACACACACACACACACACACACACACACAGTATGTATATTTATATATGTACACACAGAGAGAGCTCTTCCCCTTTGAAAGTGAGAATTTATACATTTATTTAAATATACAGTAATATGCCATAAAACGTGATTAGCGGGTTAGCTGGCTAACTTAAGACCTTTTAGTCTCATGAAACTTTGATCAATGCAGATGCAGATCACCATGCTGGTCAGACCAGGATCAGAACCAGGATGAGACCAGGATCAGAACCAGGATGAGACCAGGATCAGAACCAGGATGAGACCAGGATCAGAACCAGGATGAGACCAGGATCAGAACCAGGATGAGACCAGGATCAGAGCACGTTACTGGATCAATGATCCTCTGTGTACTGTCTCAGTTTCTGGCTCTTAGCTCCAGTGAGAGGAAGTCTTATTGCAGCAGCACACAGAGACACTTCCTGTTTCAGCATCAGAGGAAGGTCTGCCACACTCCTACTGACTCATAACTCACTCAAATGTAAAACACACACACACACACACACACACACACACACACACACACACACACACACTATCCTGCAGTATGGCAGTGATCCAGTGACAGTTGTCTGTACATCTGTGAGTTCACTGCAAACAGGAGCTGCTGACACATAATTCAGCTACTTTTAAGTTTGACAAAATGTAAACAAATACAGAGAAACACGGCAGCACCATACAGCCTGGTGGTAAAAGACGTGGTGGAGACCAGAGGAACTGTTAAAGCAGCAGATTATCAGCTGTCCACATACTTGTTAATGTCTGTGATTGGCTGTTTCTTACAAACTGGATCAACACACATCATAGTGTGACCACACCGACCCTCGTTTCTATTAATAGCTGACCTTTCTGTGTGTGTGTGTTGACAAACACTCACCCCGGCGGTGTCGTCCAGTTCGTCCGTCTTCCTCCGCGGCAGGACGGTGATCTCTCTCTCCTCCTGACTGACCTGAACTTTACTCCCTCGCTTCACAACAGACAGGTGTGTGTGTGTGTGTGTGTGTGAGAGAGAGAGAGAGAGAGAGACAGAGAGAGTGTTTAAATTAGTCATTAAAAAAGAGACATGTAGAGTGTGTTAACAGAGAGAGAGAGACATAGACAGTGAATGGGGTTTTGCACTTTGTCCACCACAGCGGTCTGTGCTCTGATATGTGTGTGTGTGTGTGTGTGCGGGCTGTTGCTATCTTTGTGAGGACCAATTTCAGTTCTGGACCATTGTAGTCAGTGTGTGAACTATACCACAGCTCACTTTTTCAACTTTTGAGAGTGGTGGGGGGGTCAGTAGTCGGTCAGCTGACTATAAAACAGAGACATTAATAATGGTGATTCACAGACTGACTGGGACTCGGAACATTTATTTAATATATATTATATTCTTTATTAAAGTGAATTACGAACAAATCATACATCAGTAGTAGCTTAAGTTTACTCATAATCCATGATGATGAAGAAAAATAGAAATGCATGGCAATAACAGCATATTGTCAGTATTTAAGAGACCCCCAAAATGTAACAAATCATGTTTCAGGGGACCTTCTGTCTTATTAAGAGGACCCGAGCTGCCCCTGTAGTTCACACACTGCACTGACCATTTATTACATTTTGATTTATAAAGCATCACTGGGTAAACTTCCAGCAGATCTCTGTAACCTGCTCTGTCTCTGGTAGTTTGTCTTTTCTTTCTAATATACCCGGTTCTGACAGACATTCTCACTGTGCATCGTGGGTATGGAGTAATGTGCAAAAATTAATGAATTTAAGTGCAAGACTGTGGAGACAGAAGTATGTGGTTGTTTTAGGCCATTGTGTTTATTCTTATTCTGTTTTATTTGGAGAATAAAAACACTGGAAGATGGATTGAACAGCCGGCCGTCATAGGAAGGTGAGGGCGCGGTGGTGTTGACCTGAACTGGTCACATGAAAAGTGTCAGAAATTCTTGTGTAAAGAATGAAAAAGGAACATCACCTCAGTCCGTAACCGTACTCTGATATTCAGGTGATTATACACTAATGAAAACATACCTATGAATCATTTATTACATTTCTGACAATACATCCTGTAAACCAGTAATTTTGTGCCTAATTGGTGCAAACTGATTGATTATTGACAATCTAACACTGATCCTGGACGTAGTAGGACTGTATAAAGTTACTAAGTAATGTGTTACAGACTGGACAACATGTCCACATACACCACCATGTCCTCACTTGCCAGGTGTAAAGTCAAATTCAGTCACTCACACAGCTAGATTACATTATATAGATACATATTTTATGATAATCTTAAATCTAAGAGTTAAATTAGGTAAGATTTCTAATATCACACACACAGTGACTGTTTGCGCATTCCTTGTTTTTTCCCCACCCTCCTTCGTTTGTCCTTCCTCCTCTTTTTTCAATCCATCATTCTCTCTCTCGTCGTCTCTTTCTGTAGTTAATAAACAAGATTTATTGTTTCATCAGTAATCATTAAACCAGCAGATACACTCACACACCTCTTACACACACTCACATGATGGAAAATGTTCTCAGCCGTTGTTGATCTTAATAACCTCGCAAACCTTGTGACCTTTCCTCTAGCGCCACCCTCAGGACAAACGTGTTACTCCACCAGTGGACAGACTCGAAGATAAATCGTCAGAAACTTTATGAGCAGCTTCAGTTTGTCAAATTCTTTCAGTTCAGACTGCAGACACTCAGTCTGCTGAGTCAGCGTTTCCTAACTCTGCTTTAACCTTCAGTGTGTGTGTGTGTGTGTGTGTGTGTGTGTGTGTGTGTGTGAGCAGATATAGTTTATGATTCACTAATCATCCTGTAAAACATCAGAAGACACATATGACACATATAACCAGCCAATCAGAGCAGCAGATCGGATTACTTCACCAGTTAGTGCCGCCAGACCTCCTCCAGCCCGATTTTGCTATAAATATAATAAATAAATAATAATTTCCTCAACATTAAATAAGCAGAACGAACCCTTAAAGATTATCTGAACCCACAAAACCAAGTTTTTCACCTGAAAGCGTGTACATGGGTATTTAGTGGTGGGACATTTTAGAGCAGAGTATTTACAGATTGTGCTATAAAAATGCATAAATAGCGCCCTCTACTGGCTGAAACCCGAGCATTGCAATTGACCCTTTCTAAGCCCCGCCCCCTTTTGCTCCAATAACAGATGAGCTTTCTCCTTTTCTCTACTTAAACATGCTACATGCTAGGCTAGTCTATGTTGAGAAGACAACCACAGTTTGAAGATGATTAAAAGAAAAGAGACAAATATATATTAACATCTTAAATTAGCTAACTGTAGACTAGCTAACTAATCTACATCAATCGTTAGTAAGCTATTTAGATCTGAAAGCTCATGTGAGCACAATGCTAACTAACCAGCTAGTTAAAATCCATCAGGTGGTGGATGCGGCTGCACATCTGGATCACAGGTTTCATTAAGAGACGTGAAGACAAACAGTTGGTACCTCAGCTTGTTTCTGTCCATCGTCACTCGTCCGCAAGTAGCGCTTGGTAGATTCTTCGTCCATCATCTGAAACAAACACACACATTTGTACTATACTTGTGAGGACGCTGATTTACAAACTTAAACTGAATCTAATTCTGCGCACACAAACACGCTGTGTCTTTAGTATTTAATTAGATAGCAGCTATCCCAGTGCCAGTACACTGCTCTCCAGAAGGCCCAACGTCAGCTTCACGTATATATAAATATACACACACAGTTCATACGGAAAGTATTCACAAAACCTCCAGCTCTGAACAGAACAGGCTAACGTAAGCAAGCTGGCTAACTGCGCATGTGCATGTCTCAACAGATAAGAAGGAAAAAAGATGTCTCACTCGTTATTTACTTCAATTATCAGGTCCAGTGAGAAACTGTTTTATGAAGCAATATTTAACTTTTGGCGGCTAACGTTAGCTGAGTTATCTGCAAACTTGTTGTTGCTTGTCCTTGTTTCTAGTTGTGATGATGCGATGTGACGTCTCACGTTTATCCTCCAAACAGTGCGATTTTATTCTGCTTATGATTTTTAATGAATTATACAAAAATTTTAGGCTGCAACAATCCCAAAAAAGACACGAGATAAACCTCAGAACCTCACAAGACTGCTTCCAGAAAATGTTCAAAAGCTTTTAAAAAGTCTTTATTGCTGATTATGGACATAATCTCTGCTAGGAGTTAAACATGCTCAGTACCAGTCTGACAAGAGATATATTGATCAGGTCATTGCTGAACAATAAAGTAATCACATTATTGTAATATGCTACTAAGTATAGCCCAATATTTATTTTTATTTACTGCTAAGTACAGGCACTATAGAGTGAAGCATTGTGGGTTTGAGCTCAGTTGTATTAATGAAGCCTGTTTATAATAATAAAGATCTTCCTGATAAAGTTTGATCAGAAGGTTTCTCT